GGGGGGGGGGGGGGGGGGGGGGGAATTCACCCCTGTGCAGAGGGCTTAGGCATCACTTAATCTGTATTTTGAGGAATAATTAGGACTTAAATAGTACTTGGGCTTCACGCTAGCCACATGCACATGGATGAGATTCTGTAGGAGGCAGAGATATGACTTATCCCTGACTGCTACTCTGGGAAATACCCGCTCAAGTCAAAGTCCAGGAGTTGAACAGAAATTCCACCTTCTCTTGATACCAAATGAAATCAGTGGCAGTCAATCAGGTTGCTGCATTTATTCACAAATCTGGGAAAAAGAATAAAATGGTGACCAATCAGAAGCTGATTTATTTTGGAGAGGGGATAGTAACTCCCTGTAGGCTTATCTGTGAGCCTACCCAAGGGCAGCATGTCAACGGCCTATGAGCAAATGCCACGCTGTGGTGAGCATTCAGCAGATCAAGGGCCTGATCTTGAAAGATGCTGAGTACCCGTAACTCCTAGTGAAGTCAATGGAAGCTGCTCAGTGTCTCTCAGGCTCGGGTGTGGCAATGCCAATCGTCCCAGAGGTTCAGACAGCGAGAGAGCTGCTTTGCTATAGACTGGAGCTGTTTCAACCTCTGATGCTGGAATCCGCCACTGCTTCCCTTCCAACCTACCTCCTATATAAACAGGCTCCAAACTGGGCTGCTGGAACATGTTGGAAACGGCCCAGTCGCACATAATGGGGATGGAGCGCTTAGCCTCAAGCTGCCTTAGAAGAGGCTGGCCCTTCATGGAGAGATTTCCAGCGGCTCTTCCAGGCTGTAAATTAAACCAACAGCTTTTCCTATAGAACAGACCACAGGGGTGGTGGAAAAAACAGCATGGCCTTATTGCTGCAATTTCCTTTGGTTTACATCCCTGTCCCAGCTGAGTCTGGTGGTGCCCACTGTACCCAACTTGTTTTTTATTACAGTGGCTTAAGGAGAGACGGGGACTGGGCAGGCAGGTGGGGAGGGCGGGAAATGCTTGGTGCAAATTATATTTTGAGCTGTTGTGCTTTGCCTCTTTGGCAGATAATAAATCTCTCTAGCTGTGCTCCGCCATATAGGATTTGTCATTAAATGCAATTAAACAAACGCTGCAGGTGTCCTTGATCAGGCCTGAAGCAGCCCATTCACAACCGCAATGTTATTATCATCCTGACAACAAAACACCAGATATTTCCTGAGCAGCTCTGATCGATGAGATTGCCTGACGTGGAACCATGGGGAGGGGAGAGGACAGGGTGGTGGGGACCTGTTCTTTAGAGTTATTGATGGAAAAGTCAAAAAGCTGCTCAGCAATCAGAGAGTGGTGGAAGAACAATGCGGAGGATGTGGCAGGGGGGCTTGGGGGACAACAGACAAATGCACCTGATGGATCGCACGGCCTCAGTGGTCCGGGAGAGGGAGGGATGGGTGAAGACCCCGGCCAGGAACTCAGGAGACGTAGTGTCCAAATCTGGGCTGCATCACAGATTTCTGATGTAGTCCCAGACAAGTTCCAGGAGGGTCTGTTTTTATCCCCCCACAAGAGCCCAACTCCCAAATCAAGTGGCCAAATGGTCCAAAGAGCCATGTGTGCTGGGGCTGAGCCCCTTTGAAGGATGTGGCCCTTATATCTGCCAAAGCTTTCATCTGTCTAATCTGCTGAGTCTAAAACTTCCTGGGGCAGGGGCCTTCTCTTATTACAGGACCACAGAAAATAGGGCCGGAGGGCCCAGAATTGGCTTCCTGGTTCACCCCCCTACCTCACGATATGAGAAACCATTCCTGACAGATTTGTTCAACCTGCTCCTAACACCCCCCCAGTGGTGGAGATACCTCAGTCTCCAGATGTAATCTATTCCAGCGTTTAACCACCCTAATATGCAGGAAATGTCTAATCTACATCTCCGCATCTGCAGTTTAAACCCATTACTTCTTGTCCTACCTCCAGTGGACAACCAATTACAGGTCTCTGCGGTGCCCAGCATAACACGGCCTTAACCTCAGGGAGGGCCTCTCGGTGCTGCTGTAACACAAAGAATAACACAGTTACTCCGGATTTATACCAATATAAGGGAGAGGTTCAAAACTAAAGCCACGGGGGCTTCTCAACCATTTTGATGCCTGCTCGCAGCCTGGTCTCACAAATGCTCAAGTCCCACAGCAGACAAGTGTTTGCATGGCTGGGCCCTAAGTGGAAGATCTTTGGTTGCAGGGTAACTACCTTGCTTGTTCCTCTCTGCACCCCAATGCTGACTGCAGATGCTGCATCCTGTTCTGTGCCCTGCACCCAAGTCTAATCATGAATTAAGGTTGAGTCCACTAAAGTCTATTGCATCCCCCCAGGGTGAGGGCCACATAGGGACAGAATCAGGCTCTCACTCTTCTGCTGGGCTGGATTGACTCACTCAAGTGCTGTCAGCCCAGAGCAGCTCCTTCTACTGCAGCATCCTTGCTTTTCCATAGCTTCCATGGAGCGTGAAAGTTAGCTCAGTGCATACCCGACCCCGTTCCTCCTCTCTCCAAAGCCCCTGGTCCTCCATGCTGGCCGAAGAAGGGCAGATGAGCACAGCCACTGTTTCTAGCTCCTCGCTCTTTCTGTCTTTCCCTATCAACTGCATGGCTCCCAGGCTCTGGAGCTGCTAATGGGCAGTGATCCATTTGAGGAAGGGGAACAGGTCAGTGAAAATCCCACCCCTGTAGTAGCATTGCCTCCACACAGGGCTGGCAAAAACCTACTGAACAGTCATGTAGCTTGTGGACAGACAAGAGTTGTACTGTTTTGGGGGAATTTATCCCAGTTCAGCTGAATCTGGTGCAACCATTGTGTCTGTGCTCCTATTTCTCTCATGGGAAGCTAAGCCCACCTTCACTTATGGTGCGATAGGAGCAAGCAATGGATCACTTGCAAGTAGTAGCTGCCATTCTCATTTAAAGCAGTATAACTGTTCATCCATCCACGCCCTTAATATTCCCAAAAGCATTTGCTTTAGCTGCATGTAGCTACTGTTGCAGTTTCATCCAACCAATGCACCTTCACCAAGTTTTCAACCCAGACACTGGTGGGGAGCAGGATGAGGAGAGACAGGGGGCCAGCGCTGGCAGAAAATGAATGTGACAGTGTCATCACAGAAAGGCTCACGTGCTGTGACAGGCTGGGAACAGGAATAATGTTGCATGGCTTCACCGAACAATCCCAGCTAACTCCCCCGGTGTGAAGGTCAGGGACTCACAGGGGACTGTCTGCCATCAAAGCCAGTGAGACAGAAACATCTGCAAAAACCAGTCAAATTATTCTGCTTGAGTCACTTGCTCAGATCAGCCTCAGGGTGCTCAGAGGATAATCCCTCCCTCCAGTCTCAGGGAATCCCAGTCTGGCCCAGTTTCTTGCTGGAACACGTGAAGGGTTGCAGTGATGGAAGATCACTTGCATTGCTAGAAACATAAACCCACCACCACTGAGCCACTCATACAAGTCTGGTCTGGTCTTCAGCCTCCACGTGGAGGAGACAGAAGTTCAGACATGAAGATTGTGTGCTACCAATCCATCCAAGACAAGCTTCAGGGCCCTAACAATATCAGCAGATGGAGGGCATGCTTGAGGCTGCGGCAATGTAACTAGGGCTTTCGGACCTCGCTTTGTTCCTGCCACCAGTGCCTGCTCGCTGAAGGCGGCAAAACCCCCTGCAATATTTTTTAGCTTCTTGGTAGCTGAGACAATCCTGATTTCTATGCTGCAGTTGCTTCTTTTTCTTACCCTCCACCCCCATGCACATTTCCCACTGCCATCCTGTGTGTCCTTCTCCAGATTCACCACTGTGGCCCAGTCTGCTGTTCTGTGGGATAAGCTGCGCTCTGGACTTTGCTCTCTGCTGGCATCAATCATCACAGCCCCACTGAAGTCAGTAGAGCTCCAAGCAATTTAAGCCAGCATTGCATTTGGCCCTAAAGGCCTTCTTGACATTTTCAATTGGAAAAGTGAAGTCAATTTATGGGGCACGAGTCTATCCCCAAGTATGGAAAACAGGGTTGGCACCCTTCTTGTCCATCTCTGGGCTTCTTTGGGATCATCCATTGGCTGTCTAGGTTTTGTTCTCATTTAAGCCTGTGTAAGTCCACAATAACTTTGATGTTGTCAGCCAAGCTGAGCGGAGCATGCCCCTTTGTGTGTCTGCTTCACAGAGAGACAAAGCAGAGGACAAGAACCTGCTTGTTGCAACTGCAAGGCTGAGGAGCCCAGCAGTTGTTAATAAGTGCCATTGGGATGGATCCACAGCTGGGCCTAAACCAGCATGGCTCAGCCTCGCTCAATATGAGCTTCAGGAGAGCAAGGCTGATTTCCACCCAGCTGAGTAGCTGGTGTGCATGAGAGGAGCCCCTGGCATTTCCATCGGTGGGTGTGAGCATGCCGGAGAAGCTGGACATGCGAGAAGGGGCATGAGGGTGTGTTGGGGGCAGGAGAGGAAACAGAACCAGTCCAGACACAAGTATTTCCCGTTCTCCCCTCTGCTTCTCATACGAGTGCCTTCCCCTCTCCATCTCTCTCTTTCCAATAGTCCCCTTCCCTCCCTCCCCAGGTCCCCTCTCTCCCCACTTCTGCTGCCCACCCCCTTGCACACCTTTTCCCCCCACACACTCCTCTCTAAACAGGTGAAGTTGCCACTCAATAGACTTTAATTACCACTTGAAGGGCTCTCACCAGGGTGTGTTGGGAGGGCAGAGATGAATTTTCCTGAGGCCGAGGCTTGTTGGAGCTTTGTAGTCAGATTGCAGCAATGCTGTCAAAAGATTTAGCCAGTCTCTTTGGAGGAGCTGCCCCCTTTTCTCCTCTCTGCTTACAGAGGAAGCAAACCTGAAAATAAAACAAACCCAGCATTAGTCACGCTCACTGTCAGGAAGGCGATCTGGGCCAGAGAAAATATAAAGCCTAGTTTTCAAGCTAGGAGTCTAACCAAGCTTCTCACTCATTATTTCAGCTCATAAATGAGGCCCAATATTCAGAAGTGCGGAGAACTCAGCAGCTCCCCTGGCATCTGTTGCAGGAGCTAGTGGTGGGATTTAAAATAAATAATAAAGGGGCTTGGAAATGACTTTACCTGCTGTTTTGCATTGTGCTCTTTCCATCGCATCTCAGTGGAGAAAGACACCAAGAAGGTGTCCTGCAGGGATCCTGGAGGATTCCTTTGGACTCAGCATGTCTGCTGCTTCATCTCTTCAGAAAAGCCCACCTATTTGGCAGTAATTCTCCATATGTTTACCTAGTAGCAGAACATCGTTTTCATTATTAATACTCATTCTTTTGCAAGACAGACAAGATGCTGCCCTGCTGTTTTCATGATTTGTGTCAACCTCTTCTTGGATTTCTAAGACTGTGTACAAAGCATGAGTATAGGAGGACATATGCATACCTGTGTGTGTGCGTGTGTGCACACATGCGCACGCGCATTCATGTGCACATGCATACACACACATGCACACACACACACGTATTTTAAGAACTGTGTCTTAATGGGCAATTTCAAAAAGTAAACTCGTCGCCTGAGGTTGGATTGAAAATGAGAGTTTGGGTAAAAAACCGAAGCTGGGGAAAAAAAATTGTTTCGGGTCAAGCAAAGCAGCCTTTAGTTTTGATAGGGTTAAAATGTTTAGTTTACTTTGGATCTGGACTATTTTTAACTCTGTAAAAAAAAGCATTGAAACAAATAAGTCATTTGGAACTGAGACACTGAAAAAAAAAAGAAGTTTCTTTTTGAAGACTTTGAAAAGGAAGGTTTCCATTTTATTAGAATGTTTTTAGGGTTTTTTTGCCCTCCTCCTAGAATGAACCATTCAGCAAAATGGATGCCAACCAGTGACCTATTTCGGTGTTGCCGATTCTGCCTGTTTTTGTGCGTGAAATGCCATCCAGTTTCTAACAAAAGGCCATTAGGAGTGAAAAGTGCAGCAGCGCTGCACTCCTAAAGGGTCGAAGCTCACTGGTCCAGCTACCCACTTTGGAACAGCTGCCCTTGCATTGTTGCCCACAGAAGTGGGACTGGGCACACTCGCACTTGAGCCAGTGCGAGTCCGCGGCAACTGGGCACCTACAGTCCTTGCGCCTTTGTGCTGCCATGAGCATCCACATGGCTGGGCACAGCCTCCTGCCTGGGACCTCAGTGGCTTGTGCAAAGCGTCCGTGCAACAGGGTACAGCCAGCTTTGGGCTCTCGTGTACACACTATTGTCCCTAGTACCCAGCCCAATCTACTCTGGGCACTATCTTATATGTTAGTAGCCAGCTCACTAAGCTGTATTCCCAGCTTGTATGTCCCAGGTGTTAGTATTCACTCATGCTTTCCCTGGGTTTTCCCACTGTTTTAGTGAACTGGAATTTTGGATGTTTAATTGATTTTTTTAATTAAATTACACACACACATGCCATTTCATTTTGGTCCCCCTGAAATGTTTTGCTTGGTCCTGTTCATTTTGGTTTTGTTTTTTCAAACGCTTTAACAAGCCCTTTGAATTTTAGGACAGATTTTTTTTTTTTGAATGATAAATGCTGCTCTAAAATGAAATGCCCAACACTTTTATTTAGAAAACATTGAAATAAAAGTGCTTTGATGCTTTCAAATTGTCCCTCCCCCTTTTTAGGGGGGATTTCATCACCAAATTGAACTGGATTTTCTAGATAATTTTGCTCTCCCCCCTTACCCCACTTCACCAGTGAGTAAATTTAATCCACATCTTGCCCAGTGGACAGGTCTCTAGGCCTAGAAAGCCCCCATTCAATTCACCTTCTTCTCTGTTTTTTAGAAACAAGCCTTCCACTTCATCTGGGAGCATATTCCTAAATAGTCAATAAAAGGCTATTAAGTAATCGACAGATGTTTTAATTAATATACATCAACTCCTAGAGTCCAATGCAATGCTTGTAAGGTTCCTATGGCACCGTCTCGCCTGAATTGCTCACAGCCACACATACCTCATGTCTGCGACACACCAGCCCATCCCTTAGTAACTGTTTATAAACTAATTATGAATGTATCCTTAATAGACAGTACAACCAAGCCCCCGCCCGGCTAGATCCTCTCTGTGCCCACCCCTGTTACCGGAGCCTGGACACTGCCAAAGGAATCTGATCGAATACATTGTTTTGGGAATATGCATCTTTAATTAGCAGCACAAAATCCAGCTCCCCTTGTTGCAGTCAGGCTTGGAGTAGAAACCTTTTCTACCCGCTTGAGATCTGCTCTGGGGCTCTGGCACCAGCCCTGGGGACTCTCCCATCTTGAATCAGCCCCTTGCTCTTCCTCAGGGACCCTCTAGTCTCTGGTTTGACCTGTCCCAAGATCCTGCTGTTCCTTCTCCTCCACACTCCCCTCCACAGCCAAACCCCGCGGCTCCTTCGCCCTCTTTAGCACCCATTCCCATCCCCGCTTTCCTTCCAGTCCTCTGTGCTCATCTCTTCCTGCCTCTGCAAGCGTCTTCCTTTCACCCCCATTTTTTAAAAACACTTATCCTCATCTCCTGCTCTTCCCCACCTCTTGCGGACTTGCCTCCCCAGGCCCAGCTCCCACGGTTGCCCCTGCCGTTCTGTGCTGGAGGAGGCTGTGCATTGATCACATCTCAAGCCTAGCTCTCTCCCTTCCCAAGGCGCCAATGGAAATGTCACCCGTGAGATAATCATCATGTTGCTCATGTCCCTTAATTGCTCTCAAAGTGCACGCTGTGGCTGCGAAGCCTCTTTGAAAGGCAGGTTTTGGCCTTTGGCACGTTATTGATGGGCTGCTGATAGGCTCCTTTGTTGAGGAGCAATTTTGTCCCTTTTCCAGTACATTTTTTTTTTTTTATTTTAAAGACATCCCTTTGAGAGAGTAGATTTTAAAAACAGAGCTTTGAATGAACAGACTCCAGGTTAGCTCCTAAGAAACAGTGGCCTCCGTAGGGGCCGTGAAGGACAAGCATCTGTCAGGATCAGGCCCACGGTGTTTAATACAAGACTACACACCCCCAAAAAAATCAAAGATGGAGGCAGGCGGCTGCTTCGATCACTATAGTCTTTGTCCCCCTTGCTCCCACATAGTCCCTTTAGTGAATGAGTAGTTGACTTGCGTGGGCACTAAGGCACATGGTTGACATAGCCCAAGGGTCACAAGATCAAGGCTATAGCAGAAGTGCTCACGGGCCTGTCAGATCGCAATGAATCTATGAATCCTGCTGAATACCTTGTCACGAGGACGTGGGAAAGGAAAGGACGCGTCTTGTCAGTCATGAGATGTCTCCGAGTGCTCAAGAAAACGGGCTGATAAACAAGTAAGAGAAGGCTGGGAGTCGAGCTGTGCGGAAACCTGCATGTAGCTCTTCAATAAAGACTGCCCGTTTAAAGTGGGCTATGATTTCCCATGTCACCGCGTGCCCTCCACCATCTCACAGGCCAACCAAGGGTGTATTATTTTCTTCCTGTTCTCCCATGTGCCACTGAAAGGGAGTACGTGAGAACACAGTGAAACACCCTGCCTTCAATTCTCCATGCCCCTCAAAACCAAAGCTAGGGCAAAGACTCGCCATTAGCAGCGCAAGGCCTACAACACGCAGCTGAGCAATTTGCACACCATGCTGCCGAGGACAGTAGTGCACATGTACGCTTGGCTAGTTCCTCATCACAGGATCACTGGGACATGTTCATTCTTATTTATAGTATGGTGCCAGCTAGCAACACCCCCCAACTTCAGGGCCTCATAACAGGCAACGCTGCCCTGGCTAAGGGCCAACTGGGGTGCATCCGGCTAGCCAGGACACCTCCTGAGGGGCTGCAGGGCCCCCACTTGTACCCACCTGGGGCAACGGTCTTCAGGCTGTTCAAAAGATTCATTGCAGGGCGCTTTGCCACAATGGCTGTTCCTGACCGTCTTCCCCAGTTGTGTGAACCTGGTTCCAGCTCTTCCCACTGGGGCTGACCACCCGCATCCCACTAGCCTAATGCCTCTGTGCCCGGCGCTGCATAGGCATCTTCAGCTGAACCCTAACCGAACCTTTAGTCTACACGCAACTAAAATCCCCAGCCATCTGTGCAGAAAGGGAACAAAACTCTCTCTGCTCTGAAACAATGTCCCCTGGAATGATGTTGTGATTGATGAACCCCAGCTGAGCCACTGTCTTCTGGAGCTAGCAGTGTGCATTTTAACAAGGAGGTCTTTTCTTGCAGATGTGCATCCACATAGCCAGGCCCTGTAATGGAAGCCTGTTCTGCATCCTAAGTCCCACATTAGCCCGGGCCTGTAAGAACCCAGAGAAGTTCCACTGAGACCGGCTGAATGTAATCAGCTCTGCCAGCCTCCCGGACACCCCTAAGCGAGGGCTCTCTACGCAGCTATTCCACCGCACAGCCCTGGTGATTATAATGTTTAGACCTTGATGCATTCACCAGTGATGAAGGGCATTTTGATTGCAGACGAGAAGTAAAAAGCCAAGGGGCTTGGATATTCAGAACACCCCCAACATGCAGGGATTTGATTGTTTGGCTCAGTGAGGGGGTTGAGCCCTTGAACGTCATTGTGTTTTCTGAGCTGATATTGCAAAACCAGAAGCAAACTGAGCTCACCAATAATTCTCATTGACACAGGGGCCTGCCTGACTAAAATTATACAGCGATATTTCATCACTGAAACTTGTAACCTGAATTACATCCAGTTAAATGCTTGGGTCTTCTATGCCACAAACCCACATGGAGCATGTATATGCATTACATAGTAACAGAGCAGGGGCCATCCTTTCACCACAGTAAAATTCTTGTTGAAGGTCCTGTACCCAACACCTTCCATGATATAAGCCAGGCAAATCATTCACTTCCTGAATAAGTACTAGAATTTGGGGAGGGGGGAAAAAAAGCAGATAATACAACATCCCCCCGCCCCCATAACTTATTTAAAGACATCACAACATTTATCAAATGCATTATTCAATTAAGGCAATTGGAGATACTTGACATAAACCTCTCCCAGGTGATGTACCCTTCTTTTTTAAAAAACGGGCGCTCACACAAACCCCCATCTATGTTACCAAATATATGCCTTTATTTGAATGTAGTCATCCTACTATAAAAGAGTGTGCTAAAAGAAACTCAGTTGTTTAGATGGAGTGGATTGGGAAGAGGAAAAAAAGATAAGACAGGATGGAATAAGACAATAAATAGTTCAGGTAAAATAGACTGAAAGCCTTCTTTTCAAGCTAGGCATGACAAGATAACAACCTTTTGCCTTTTCTTGGCCCCATT